TTTTTTTCCAGGGACTGGTTTCTCCTGATAACATGTCCAAAGAACGTGAGACCAAGCCTCACCACTCTAGATTCTAAGGAGCATTCTATCGGTACTACTGTTCCAATTATAAGAGTTTGGGTTTTCTTTACAGCACATTTTAATCTTCACTGATGGTTGTTGTCCTTTATCTTCACTAGCAAGTGCTTCAAGTCTGACTCTCAGCAAGCAAGGATATATCATCTGCACATTGAAGGTTACATATTGCACAATAAGCCTTTCTCCAATCCTGATGCTGCATTCTTCTTCCTATAATCCATTTCCTTGGATTATAGTGATTGTAAGTATAGTGAAAAACTACAATCCTGACATACACCTTTCTTGATTTTAAATTGCACATCATTCCCTTGTTCTGTCAAAAAACTGCTTCTTGGTCCATGTGCAGGTTCTGCATGAATACAATGAAGTGTTCCAAAATTTTCATTCTCCTATGTGTTATCCATAGTTTTTTATGATCCACAGAATAGAATACCTTTGAAATATTTCAACAAGCTAATGAAGCACCTGAAGCACTTTTTCAGCTGTGCCAAGACATTTGAAAGTCAGCTACCTGGCCAAGTGACTGGAAGAGCTCCATATCTGTAACCATTTCAAAGAAAGATGATCTAACAAAATGTAGAAATTATCAAACAATTTCATTAATGCCATAAGCAAGTAACATTTTTTTTGAAGATAAGAAAGAGTGCCAGCAATACATTGACAGGCAGCAGCCAAAAATTGAAGCAGGCTTCAGAAACTGATGTGGCACAAGGGATGCCATCACTGACAACAGCTCAGCACATGAAGGCCATTTGGAGCCATAGAAGGTAACATACCCAATAAAACAGAGAATGGTGTAAACAAATTCGGAATGAAGCAAAGTGAGTAGAACATAAGCTAGATCTAAGAAAAGAAATGGCAGGAAAGTGGGTGAGAATTCCTCCTACCCTGCCTCCTCTACACAGTTCACTTTGATTGCCTTCCTTCGCCACCGCTGTGAAACCCTGTCACACTATATATAGTCAGCAGACCACAAGTATCTGCAAATTGTGTACCACAGCCTACTACCCACACTGTCAATGGGGCATGCTAGCACAGACTAAGTGCTGTACACCTGCAGCTTCTGTAGTTGCAGATATGTGCTCTCACAGATTGTGCCCTATGTATGCCCATTGCTATTTCCCCAATGATCAGGGCATGTGCTCACCTACATTGCATGACAATAGTTTGCTGGCTTCATGATCAACAGCATGCAACCCCACAGATACAGAGCTATCTACCAAACACCTTCTAAGCTGATGAACAAACTACTTTGTCATCCTTTTCTTTTTCCAATCCTTTTTTATTCATTTATTTCCCTTATTCCTCTCACTTTTTGGTCTGCTCCATCTGGCAGCAGGAAAGCATTAAGTCCCCACTAATGAGCCACACTTGTTACCCCTGCCACCTACCATCCCTAGCCAAGAGATAAGTGCCACTACCTGTTTCTGTACCACTGGG